GACAAACTTTCTGCAACGCGTGGAAAAAGCAAGCTGAGGTCGTGTTTATACATAGCTAGACCTTGCGGGGTTGTCTTTATGATGACACACCTGGCACCAATAATAACCATGCTTAAGTTTAAGGGACCTTAGCAGGGTATCTATCGGTTCCTATGTTTGTTGACACTACAGGTGACATAGGATTGGCTGCAATTGCAGCTGCGTCGGACTTTGGCTGGGTAGAGTTTCATGCAACAAATATGCAACAATCATAGGAACAAGTGCATCGTGCATCGCTACTAGTATCAAGTGCATTACTACTAGTAGCAAATAGCTACTAGTAGCTTCTTGCTACTAGATCTACTTACTAGTAGTAATGCACTTATAATGCACATATATAAGTGTGATTCCGTGATTCCTCTCTTCCAAGGTTTTCATGGTTGGGCTGAAACATGCCGGTGTAAGTTTCTCTCGCAGCCTCAAAGCCTTCATGTTTCCACTTCGGGATCTGCCTGCCGCAGGAGATAGCCTAGTGACTAGTGGTGACTCTGATTGGTGGGGTTACCTATTCGCGGCATACAACCGACTTGTCCTCAGTTCTGTTTGCCCTTGGAAACACTTCGCGGACAAGTCAGTATAAGTATAAGTAAGAGTTGGCACCTATGACCTGTATGTGGCCCGACAAATGAAGAATTTGTCTAAGTCATGTTTTCCAGGGCCGGAACTCATCCACGTACTTAATACCACTCAACTGAGACCCATGGAGCAGGCGGCAGCCAACAGGCAATCTACCCAATCTACCCCTGGAACCCGCTCCATCAGTACAGCATCATCTACTTCCACAGGACGCTTGTGGCGGCTTGGTTCCTGCCTCCTCCCCCCTGAGGCGCGCATGGCCGTGCCTTTGGCTGTGGCTGGCGCCTTCCACACTGACTTCATGGCCTGGGCACACGGTGGAATTCGCTGCACCAGCCGCAGAACGTGGTCCTGATAACCATCCCACACACTCCATGTATGCCATATATGCTTACATTGACCCCCCAAACTACCCCAATGTATGTAAATATGCGATACATGGAGCGTCTGGGCATAGTTTCCTCTACCAAAGAAATGCTTGTGGCTGTGTCGATGTTGTTGTGGGACCCTGTGAATCGTGTTCGTTGAGGCCACCACCTGAATTCACCGTTTAGAAAGGCATGTTTGTCCTTTTAGAGATTGATGCAGATACGATCCTCCACGACGGTAACATCGACTGGTTTTAAGGTGTTTGACTTCCAACCGAGCACATCGTCGGCTTCGCATCAGGCGAAGTCGATCGAAATATTTCGCAGCGGATGACAGGCCCCTGCCGTGGAAAAACTTGAGGAGGTTCTCGCCAGCGACGGAGCTCAGAGTGGTTGAAAAGCCTCGGTTCGGAAGTCACGTGTTTTCGGTTTGGAAGGTCGCCTTTTTAATATGCGTTATGTTCTGGTTGACTGGTTGCCTCTCAACGACTGGTTCTATTTGACTCGCCAAGTCAGTAAGAAACCAACCCAAATGGCAAGAACAGGATGATTGTCATGATTCATGATGATGTGTTGAGCTCCCTGGCTTCTCAGGTGTTGAGCTCAAAAAGCCTCGGATTCCAGTGGTCTCCAACGTGGACGCCAAGTGTGGGCCTTTGATGGCTGGATCCTGGATATGGGTGTGGTGTATATTTTAATAGGGAGACTTCCAAATACGCTCTGCAAGAAGGGAAATAGACCAAAACCCATTAGTATTGGTTGGGGTCTCCCTATTAAAGTACACACCCATATGGGGATGGGTCGGAGCCCTGGTCCATCATGTATCTTGACTCCCAGGTAGGTCAACCGGTCGGTATCCTGAGCTTTGTGATCAGGTGTGGAGGACAGCTTTGGGGCAGTGATGAGATGGGGAGGGGACGGTGTGCAGATCAACAGCATGTCAAAAACACAGAAAGCATTGTGGTAATAGTAATGTTTATGATTATATGGTTATTCTTGAATTCTACAATTCCTGTCGCACTTGTGGAACTACAGTAAAGATTTCGACTGCGAATGGACCACCTGCCCAGTACAAAACATTCAGGGGTTCCGAGTCTAGGGGTTGTGAACTACCAACTGGAAGGCTGAACCTTTCAACCAACTGGAAGGTCAGCTTCCTTCCTCCGGAGCCTAATCCCCAAATCTCCTCACATGTCCGAAGCCTTACCTCTTGGTAGGCCACACTCTGACCCGGAGTCCATCAAGGCACTGGTGGGTTTCGCAAGGTTTTGCGCTCCTTAGGGCTGGCGCGGGACGATGGCGGCACCAGGGTCTTGCGACGATGAGGTGCTGTCTGTTGTCAATTCCTTCTGCTTGCATGTGATGGTGGTCAGGGGAACAAACAGGCTCCAACCCCACTGTAAAGCTTTTTGATGCTTTTTGTGTTCTTGTGTCATTTGTGTCGTTTGTGAAGAGAATCGACTGAATAGAAGGCACTTCTTTGGAGCAAGAAGAGTTCCCAAGTCGGCTTCGGAGCGGTGCCGTGTCTTGGCCTGTGCCAGGCCATCCTCGCCAAGCAGGTCACGGCTCCTGTTCAGCCCCTTGGTACAGGAGAACCGCTCAGTTCGACTGAGCTGTGCCCCCCCCTGAGGAGAGCTGAAGCCCCTTAAGACTGCCACGCTCAGACTGACTGCGCTTTCTGTCAACGACTGTCGGGGTGAAGCAGAGACTCTCGAGTGTGTTGCTGGGCGTCCCCACAAATTGGTGGTAGTCAAAGATGATCGACACAAACTAATGCGAAGACCGGATTCATAAATCTCCACGTGGAAGGTCTAGAAGGTCTAGAAGGTCTGAGTTGCATTACAGACGATTTTGACTAGTCCTGTACTTCTGCCAAGGTGGGAGACACAGATGAAGGCGGGTGCGCACCATCCATCGCGCGATGTCTGGACATGGGTGGATTTCACGGCTTGATGTGCAGATCTGAGACATCCTATAGATTGTTGTTTGAATGAAGAAATATGAACAACCACATGTTTTCTTTGTCAGGAATCACCTGTTTTGGTGCATATGTTGACCTGGTTTTGCCATGTTTTGCCCGTATCCCACCGTGTGACATCCCATTAAAACGATGTCATCACCGTATCAAAATGGACCACCGCCACCAGGACCTGAAATGGTTCCAACATGAAGAGGATGTCCGAATTGGCCAAAGACTGTACTCGTTTTGACCACATAATAAGTATAACTTGTGTGTGTCTTTTCTCCCAGACGAATTTGCAGTTTGCTTGCTTTAGGTCTTCTAAGTTTGCCAATCCTCCGAAGCTTCCCAGTGTCGTTTCGGCCGAAACCGGTGAAACCTCTGGCGACATGAAAGCTCTCCTGTCATTTCAAGTATGCCATGAACTGACCAATCTGACCTCTGCCGGGGAAGTCCTATGACATCTATGACCTACGATCCCTTCCTTTTGCAGGACCTCTCTGCTTCGGGTGGCTTTGAGAAAGGCTACGAATGTGGCCCTGGCAAGGCCGGCAGTGCTTCGGTTTGCCGATTGCCAGACACCGGTGGAACTGGAGTGCGCGGAGCGCGGCGCGAGCGCATCGCATGCGGATGGAAGGGATTTTGCAGTGGCTTCATACTGACTGGGCTGACTGGGAGCTTTCAAGAGCTTTCATCACCAAGCTGGTTGTGGGATTCAGCATGATGTAGTTGCTTCTTCTCGTTAAGAGACTAGGTTTGGACATACTTCTTTGCGGTTGTTGTAGTCTTTTCACCTCTACGACCTGGTTGTTGTAGCGACTGGTATGGCTGCCGTAAATTCTACAGGTCGATGATGCTTGCATCCACCCAGTTGAGCGGCAGGGTGCTGAATACTGTCGATCCCCTTCCGAGGTCCGATAGGAAGGAGTCCCCAAGATACATCTCAGATCATCTCAGGATATTATTGTTTTCTAATGGACTTTTAGTTTCACCACAAGGACCTGATACTCCTTGCTGGCCAAACAACGCATCGTTCTGCTTCGTACAAGCAAGATCCAGGTCATCGCTGGTATCATGAAGAGGATCGACAAGAGCCTTGGTCGGACTGTTGGCTGTTTGAGGCGTCGATGCGTCGAGGGTGATTCGATTGGCACGGCCGGGCACGGCATGATGCGCTCGGAAGTAGCTCAAGGCAAACGTCAGTATATCTCACTATATTAATTGACAAGCCATTGTACGACAAGCAATTGCACCAAATCTTTGGGAAACCCAATCTCCATAATACTCTTGCAGGCAGGACGATCACATTCCTCCAAAAAAACAAAAACGTTGGAAGTATTTTGTCCACTAGAAGGGTGTGGTGACCATCATGAGTTGATTCTATGGGGTGTGAACTGACCCTTGATGTGTAGGTGGATAATGATAGATAATGATAGATAGATAGATAGATAGATAGATAGATAGATAGATAGATAGAT